CAGAACATCTCCTCACCAGCAATCATCACCCAGATAAGCAGAGATTAACACCAAGATTATTGCCAGACATACAATCAAGCAGTAAACAATATCACAATCAAGGAACTACCGGAGGGAAAAAATAAAACAAAACCCACACCCCAACCAACACTGGCAGAGCAAGCTATTGTATATAAACAGAGAGCAAACCCCATTCCATTCTAGCACTGAAGACGTTACCTAGCCGGGTAACAAAAGGTTTGCAAGAAAACAACCAAGCTCAGAGAACCCCAAGGACTCCAGATGTAACACTGGCAGCCAGCGCTTAGGTGACCAAGAAGACCAAGCACAACATGACTTGGATTCAATAATATAATTTGAAAGCACACAGGATGTCAAAGTCCAGCTGGCAACTGTGACCACTCGAAGTCCCTTCCCTTTTCTGTTTGAATCAATCACATGGTTGTAGCCACCATCTTGACTTTCGTGATACCCACACCCACGGAAGCAAGTGATATCATGTCCATCATAATATCATCACACAAATGTGTGCAGTGACATCATAGTACATGTGACATTTTTATTTCTAGCTAATATCTGTGATTCCTAAATTATTTTCCTAAAATTCACTCTGAGGGAATGAGTGAAGCCACTGTAAAGTATAGTAGCTATAATGGCTTACTAGTGAGCAAAAATTACAAACGGGAGAGCCCTTAATGTGGTTCAGAAGAGTCGTTTTCTATACCATTAAATACTGGCATTTTTCCAGCCCCATGAGATGACTGAGACTGGGAAATCAACTCCACAGGAAGACTAAAATTACTTTTATTGAGACTGGCTATAATGACAGGATCTTGCAAGTCTGATTGTACTGTGCCTTCTCCTTCTCCTTATAGTTCGGTGAAGTAGGGAAGTGTCTCAGTGAGCTGCTTCCGAATGTTATCTGGCTGTTCTGGACTTAAAAAATGTCTCAGCCCCCTTTTTTGCCTAGGCAACAGCTCCTGCACATCTTCATCAAGGTCGCCTTCCTTACTTTCTACACATTTCAGAATATTCAGAGGTGTAGGGCAGAAGGTGTTTTGTCTACAGCTACTCACCACAGATACGCAGTGCTATCACAGCTCCTACTAAAAGGCTGATCAAAACACATCCAGCCCCAGTAATGGTCCAACGATAACAACGATATCTCAGCAGAGTATCTACAAAACAATTGGAGGATGGGGAAAGACGTCCGTTTGCAATGATTAGCAAGGTTTTTTTCCCCAGCTTCCATATCTTCATTGAATTAACAAGGACAACATCACCTTTTCCCACAGCCGAAGACAGAATCAATCTTTCAAGGCTCATAGTATTTCACATTGTCAAGTTTGTAACCATCTGTCTCATTTATGACCCACCTTTTATCGAAGAAGCTAAGGGAAGGCTAACTGGAATTTCTTTGTGTTGTTACTACAACCCTGTAAAAGCCTCCCCACCCTCACATTACGCCCAAACCAAAGAGAATAAGATATGAGAATTTGCTATAGCCTGAGTCTGCTAATAGGGCAGAATTTCCCAGGTTTTCATTGATGCTCTGTCTGAGTCTTCCCTTGCTATGATTTTACAGCATCACCAGAACAGTCTAGCGATTCCACTCTTACTTCCTGCCATCAAAACATTGTCCATAAGAATGATTTATTTGTTGAGTTCTTAGTGTTCACTGAGCTTGGTTGTTTTCTTGTGGGAGAGTGGGGTTTTCTGGCTGTTTATTTGGTCTTGGGGCGGGGGGGGAGATTCCTCCCTGAGAAGAGCAAACCAGAGGCATCTGCAAGGGGGTTCAAAAAAAGTCAAGATGGTGGCCACAGCCATCACAACACATGTAAAAAGGACAAGGCTTTGAACACCTAGTTGTGGCCATTACCTTGCCTGTTTTGACCCCTCCCTGTGGATACCCCTGGAGCAAAGTAAGTGAGGAAAGTCATTAGTATACTAAAATGCAGAATGGGAAGGTTCCTTTATGGATCAGTAATCCCTTAATCCCAATTTGCATATTTGGAACTTTGCCCTATCTTGGACAGACCATCCAGACATTAGGCTGGAAATATTTTCAGTGGCGAAATATTTTCTGTCTCCTCAGCCACATCCACCACCATTTTAATCTGTGAAACTGGGATGTAACTGCTTCACTAGCTTTCTCATTAGTAGCTAAGATAGGCAAACATCAGACTTGCATTTTCCCAAAGAATATGACCACGATTGCTATCAAATTGAAGCTGCTTGTATCAGAAGAGGAAGACTGCCAGTCTATTTCCTTCATGAACCTCCATAAAGTATCAGAACAAGTGACAGACAGAAGTGCTGAACTAGATAAGCAGGTCATATTTATATACTTGTTTTGGATGTCTTCTGAACAATCCTTCCAGGAGGGCAAATAATGACTGGTCTAAAATCAGCCACTGAGCCTCATGGCTAAGAGAATTGAAGCCCAGCTTCTCCCAGTCCACCTAGTCTAACGCTCTTCCCAATGACTTCCTGAATGAAGCAATCAAAAATATTTGGCACATATGGCAATCAAACTAACAAACAGAAAAAGGAAGAACGCAGAAAGCATGTTGCTGCCTAAAGACCCAACCTTCTGCTAGTGATGAGAGGCCTCATGAAGCCAGCTTTCTTAATCTATTTCAGATAAAAATGTATTTACCTGGTTTCAGAGACACAGGGATCTGACTCTGCTCTTTTCTGGCTTGGATGTTAAGCGCCAAGTAGCCTTCCTCATCCTCCATTTGACAAGATGTTCTTCAGAGTGCCCTTTGAAGCTGTGTGTGCGCGCACAGAATGCTTTTCTGAGCCTGCAGTTCACTCTATGGGAGAAGCAGCAGAACTGACCACTGTCTGGCCAAGAAGAAACAGAGGAAATGAGGCCTCCAGTTTGACCATCTCTCAGCACCTCTGCTCCACTCTTGATGGCTAAATGGTGCCAATGAGGTTGTTTCCAAAAAAGGCTGCGAGGAAGGTCCTAGGCATGCTCTGGTTCATTTAGCCGTTCACTTCATTTGAGAAAACAGCCAATAAATACTGTATATCACCAGACTACAGAAATGCACAGACCTTGCCATTAATGTCCAAGTATATCTGTCTGAAGAATGCAAGGTGAAAGGTGGAGTTGTTAAATGTTTTCCATGCTTCAGCCAAGATTAAATTATCTCAGGGTAAAAGTGCCCATCAAGAGAGGAAATCCAGACCTCTGCCTCAGACTCAGACCCTTACTGTGCTGATTCTGAAGGAAAAGAAACATTTGTCAGGCAAGTAGATGCTTCTGAACATTCTCAACATTTCATGGGCTTCTCTTTTTCTTTTCTTGCAGCTGTATCACAGTGACGATTCCTATCCAGCTGGTGATCAACCATAATTCCAAGATCCTTAGAGTTTTGCCAAGCCAAGTAGCCCCTATCCGATACCTGTGGAGTTTTCCTAAGTGAAAGACTCTGCATTTGTCCTTCTTAAATTTCATTCTATTATTTTCAGCCTACTTCTCCAACCTATCAAGATCATTTTGAAGGCTGTTTCTGTCTTCTCTGGTCTTAGCTAACCCATCTAGTTTGGTGTCATTTGCAAATCTGGTAAGTATTCCTTCCTCCTCTTCATCGGATTATTAATAAATCATGGAAGAGTATGAGGGCTTTGCAGCACTCCACCCAAGACTTCCGCTTGGATGACTAATCAGTGAGCCCGCTTTGAGAGTGGTTTCTAAGCCAGCTGTGAACAGGTCTGTGCATCTTAAAATTGCCAAGTTTGAAAAACACTGGTTTACTTAGACCATCAGTACCTAAGGTTGCAATTTATCCAGCCAAGGATATCTGGACCCATTCCAAGTCTGTAGGCGTTCCCAGGCTGTTTCTATCAAGCTAGAGCTGGAATCCTGTTTTTTCAGCCAGTGTTTCCAATTGCCTAATTCTGTCCCTTTTTCCACCACTTACGTTTGTCTTTTTCGGTTTACAGATTTTTCTTTAAGATTTAGATGCTCTTGCTATCTTCTACTTTGTCCCCCTTGTTGAAATTGTGATGTTGCTTTTAATCTCTCTTTTTCTAGGAATTCTGACATCTTTGGGGCTCTTTTTCCCATTAGCTTCTTTTTCTGCTGTAGAATCATACTTGATATTACTTTATTAAAATCTACTTTTTTGAAGGCCAAGATGTTTGATAAAACTCAAACATTTGGGTTCCTAAATATGAAGAATTTCAGCACATGTAATCAACTACTTTTCATCAATATTTCTACTAATACTCATGCTACTTTATCTTTTTTACTGTGTTCATGGCCCATCTTTTTTTTTTCGCTCAAGTGGCTTGCCCAGGGATCAGCTTTAATTTTGTTCTCACAATAATAACGCTGTGAGGTTGAGAGAAAAAGTGACTGGCATGTTCTAGTCAAGGAGAGATTTGAATCTTCCCAATCCAAATTTAATACCCTAAACACGACACTGGCTCTGTAGTGGTAACTGGCTTCATAGCATCACCCAGCCATTGCTGAAGTGACATAAAATTGTCCTTATTACTGTTATTTTGATACAATAGTTGGATGACTCTAGAACAGTATTTCTCAAAGTGTGTATGAGGACCTCTGAGAGTCCCCCAAGACCCTCTCAGGGGTCCACGAAATTCAAATTATTTGCCAGCCCATGTTGAAAAATAATACAATATTAAAATCCCATCAAACAATCCTGAGAAGCAGCAATGGCAGTGAATGCATCAAATTTAATTTTTAATATAGTAAATAGTGATAAATATAACCCATAAAAACAAAAGCTCCTTTGGGGTCCTCCATAATTTTTAAAAGTGGGAAGGGATACTGAGAGAAAAAGTAGTTTAAGAAACACTGCTCTAGAAGATAGAGAAATCACTATCATGCGCATGACATTTGTCTATTAACTTTTCCCTGTTGCTTAGGGTCCAAACAAAAATAAACAATTCCTTTGTGCTTTTCTCCAATCTTATAAAAGAACTAGTCCCATTGAGACTTTTAAAAAATGCCAGCACAAAGCTGGAGGTTTGCCCTTGAGAAATTATTTCTTCTTGTCCAGAACTTTGAAGAAATCATCACCTAATTTTTATGTTCACAAATCTGGTGGAAGATTTGAAAGAGCATTTCTGCCCAGTTCTGAGTAATATACATTTATGACTAGGGTAGATACAGATTTACTGCCAATTTTGAAATCTGTCCCTGAGCTATGGATCTACTAGAAAGCCTCCATTTTCTTCCCTTCTGTTAGATCAAACTGCACTGACAGAAATAACTCAAGACCTACTAACCACAATAAGGGCAATAAGGTGTGGGTAGTAGTTAAGGATTTGCTTTAGGTCCCCACTGTCTGTCACTCTCACATGAGCTCACATACACCCACAGAATGCTTCAACCATCAATATCTTCAACATCAAAGATGAATTCATTTCTGTATAGTAGGGAAGTGGACCCCAACACTGCAATTGTCCCTCTAAATTCCTACCTCTGTCTTCATCTTGTCTGGGGATATCTAAAGTATCCTTTGGCTCTTGGGTCATGCTTCCAAAGACAAGAGGATTACAATATAAATTAAAAATAATCAAAAACAAATTACAATTGAAGCTATATCAAATGTTAGCTATAGTAAGCCTGGAACTTTCTTAATCCTTCTAGGCCAGTGTTTCTCAACCTTGGGAACTCTAAGATGTGTGGACTTCAACTTCCAGAATTCCCCAGCCAGCACAGCTGG